GAACAAATATGGGTCCAACTTCCATGCATGTACATGCTCAACGGGTACCAATAGTAACATATTAAAAGCTGAAAGATAATTATTTGCGTTCTTGGTCTATAAATCATTTTTCTTGTAATTAATATCACATATGTAATCTAATAATTTAAACGGCACATGTATAAACATACAATAGTACTGTATAATTATCGTCTGCTATAGTGCGTGGTTAAACATGTGTACATTGGTTAAAAATTGATTGTGAACTTGCACGTTACAGTTAAAAAAAAATATATCAAAAGTTCAATTTATAAGAAACCATGTCTGTGACTGGACGTCGGGATATTGCAATAGAATGGTAAAATACATAACCCTAAAGAATATACAACAAATAAATCTTGATCTGTTGCAAATTCGTTTTCCTTTACGGTAATCAAGCAACTGTCTATGACCCCTATATAGGATCGGCTTCAGCAACATTAAACATTAAAATGGTTAAACTTTGCAATAGAGCTTCCGAAGATGCACATATAGCTGTGAATTTATAGAACATTCATTATGAAAATAATTACATTAAAGCAAACAAATTAAAGAGTATCAGAAGTTATAAGCCTTCATAGTTACTACAACGACGAGACAGGAGATATACACTATACTAATTTAGTAACCGTGAACCAAAATGAAAAGTTCTATGCAATTCTTTCAAGAAAGAGTAACATTACGCCGTCGTCAATGTTCATTTTGTCCTCCGTTTCTTTTCAATCTCAATACGAGTTTCCAGTTAATCAGAATTATAAGTTTTGCTACTCACGCACAAAGTACGGAGCGTACAAAATATTTGTACAACTCTTAATCGCACAGGTACTTTCAACTTTTCGAATACTGACATATCATCCTTTTTTAAATCTAATCGACAAATTTAAGCAATAATTTTTAAACGTGAGCTATAAAATCGATCATGTCAAAGTTGTCCTTCTATAAAACTTAATTCACATAGTGCAAAGGTAGTCAGTAGACAGAGGAATAAACAGCCAGATTTATAAAACGGAAACTTCTATTTTAGAGAACCTTCCTTTCCCCTTAATTTTGGTTTAGTCAATCTTGGTTTAGTCAATCTACGATCAAAATATTGTCCCTGAAATTGATATTCTTTACCTTCTAGGACAGTTCCCTATTGAAAATATATGATAGTTATGTGGTGTCAAATACATTTTGATAATTACATGTCAGGTTATAACTAAAACAGAGTCTTATGATGCGAACCCATCATTAATTATTTAAATTGTTATATTTATTCATCTTAACACTCTATGGTTCTATTTTATGTTTAAATAATGCACTCGTTCAAAATTCATTACAATATTATTTTCTTTTGGAATGTTTAACATTGAATTACTAGTAAACACTTAAATCTTTCACAAAAGATTTAATCATAATTGGTTAATGAGTCGTTTGACAAGCTTTTATCTGTACTGTAATTGCTATATTGTAGAGTCATACTTTGGTCTTTAGCCGTTAATCTCTTGTTTTTTTTTCTTTAAAATAATGTTTGCAATAGTAAAAGACGATATAAAGTGTGTCATCTCGAATGATTTAAAAAACATAACCAACATTGTTCCTTAAACTGCGGGTACGTTTATGATTTCAGTTACAACTAAATATGTTCCACACCTTCAAACACATGCCTACAATGTATGTCAAATGTAAAAATTTAAACGAAAGATTAAACAACGGTTAAGTAACGTTTAAGGGACGCAATGCCTTTGTTATTGAATTTTACATTTTGAAGAGTTAGTTAATCATGAAAATTTTCCTTTGTATATGTATAATGTACATGGTTTAGTACGTTTAAATTTAAGGGACGCAATAAATAATTGTATCATTTTATAATTGAAGTGATTTGTGATTTTTTTATATTGCATATATGTATACGTACACATGATTGGTACCGATGTAATACCAACTTTACATTTTGGAAGAATTAATTATTCACGAAAATTTTACTGCACATGTATAAAAAAGGACTAAGTATACATACATGATTTAACGCCATTTTATATAGATCGATTTGCTTTAAGGAAAAAGAAAGTAGGCAATTCATGTTGTTAATTCTAATACATTGAACGTTTACATGACACGCTGTTCATATGTAACATGATTTTTTTTGTAAAGTTGTCGATATTTTCGAATTCTTTTCAAGCTTTTTTTCCTATTTCTTCTGAAACTTTGATATTTATTGAAATACATATTTAGTCCGAACGACGTTGTCAATGAATGTTTATATTATTGCTTTGACAATATCTATGTTTTGAACAGTCCATTCATTTCAATATCAAAATACTGAAACAGTTACATTGAGCTACAGACAGTAATGAGCATGGTCAAGTTACATAGATTGATGTGTCTACCATTTGATCTGGAAAAAGCTATTCTTTTTCCCGGTCCCGCAGGGGAAAGTTTTAATATTTAAATAGAAATTTTTTTTTTGTGTTTTAACCCATTACACTTTTAGTTAAGATAAAAAAATTTACATTTTTTCGGGGTTTCTCTTTGGTGAGTAAATTTTCCTAAAAGATTTCAATAAAGTTTTTCATTTTTTTTTTCTACCGAGGCCCCTCTTTTAATTAAACCCAGTTAGGGTTTCGATGTTCCCCGGGAAAATTATAATTTTTTAAAAAATTTAAAAGTTTTTTTGAATTGTTTTATTCGGGGCAAAAAAGGGAGGCCCCCCCCTATATTTAATAATTCCCTTTGATTCTTAAGAAAAATTGGGGTTGAATTGAAAAATTGTAGTTAAAAAAGGGTATAAAAAAAAATTTCAAGTCCCCCTTTGAACTAAAGCTTTTTAAAATTCGAATATAATCGATAAGTTATCCCCTGATAATATTATAACTTTCATAATATGTTTCCTAGTAAATTAAAATTTTTTTATATACAATTTTTTTTAAAAACCAAATGAAAAAATTCATGCCAAATCCCTTTAAAAATTCACGCATATCAATAAAATAATGCTAAAAAAGGGGAAATATCGAATAAAGTGTTTACAAGGTTCAACACTGAATCAATTGAACACAGTTATATTTATATTATATGCGGTCCTCTCATGAACATTATGCCATTTTATTCAACGAGTTAGCTCAAGATAGTAATAACCTACACGAATATAATAATTTTCTTTATCACATACCTAAGATAAAATATGTTTATAGTAAAGATTATCTCTTCTTTATATTTTACACGTCTTAAAGCGTAACGCTAACGTGTTATTGAAATAACGTACATGTATGTTTTGCTTGATACATTCGATCCATGAAATAATGTTAATTTTACATTCAGTTCCTGTTACAATCAAAGAAATATTGTTTGTTTTTTGTAATATTCATGTAACAACAAAAAACAAAATGTTTCCATGTTATAAACTAACCAATGACAATCAATAATGTGCATGTATGCTTTTGTGTAAAATATGAACAGAACAGACTGAACATTTTATCTTTAATAGCTCAAGATTTATTACATATGAATTTATATAAAAGCAGCTGTGATTCATATTTCCTGATTACATATAACATGTTTTATATTTTTACACATAATATCATTAAGGATTTCATTTAAATAGAGGCTATATGGAGCACGAAATGTATTTGATATTCATAGAGATACTTAGGACTCTGAACATGAAAACGACGCCAAATGGGGGTACCGTAAATATACATCAATTGATCTGAGCCCTGCGTGATGAAATGTCATTTCTATCCGGAAAATATATATATTATAATAGTTAGACTTTGTTGGAACCCAACCCATTTGCACTATACTCATATCTGTTTTTGTGTTTTTCATATATTAAAAATTATACAGTATTGTCGCAATAAAATATTATAAAGTATATTGATTGTTTTAAAATCAATGTATTAATATTCTCTATCAATATTGAACATGAGGAATTGTCTCTAAGTTATATATTATATAAATAATATTTTAGCTTAAATATAAAGCTTTCCTTGATCTATTTGAGCATAAAATAAAGTTAATGTTGTAACAAACTAAATTAATTGGGCCAGAATTATCACATTGATTTTCCCATTTGTATGCTAGAAAAATTGAAATACATGGCCATTAAAAAAAGCACAGTTAAATACTGGTTAATAAAAATATGATTACAATAAATAAAAAAAAATATTTATTTTAAGCTTTTACATGATAGCACCTTAAATGTTAAAGCTGTTGATTTTAAAATTTACTTATTTATATTCATGAATAGGCCATATATTCCCAAAGTTTATTTTTTCTTACAGCAGCTTAAATGGATGCCCCCTGTCACTTGATATGCAATTAGCCAATAAACCATTTAGGTGTCACCTTCCCTGGCTAGAAGTGCACAAGGGTGGGAAGTTTAGTGTGAACTCAACTGTATATTATTAAACTAAAGTGCAAATTTCTGAGGGTCCAAAAGAAGAAGCCCCATTTATTGAAAAAAATGGAAGTTTATTTTTAAACCTTGTGGGTGGAAAGTTTTAGGAAGTACTACCCACCAGAATACACCATCAATTGTTGTTTGGATTATTAGTGACTAACACAAAAAATAAAAACTGCAGAAAAAGGACTAATGCGTATTATTTTCTAATCTGTAATTTTAGTTTTGAAAGTGCAGTGTTTGTAAGAAAGTTTATATCCATCAAATGCCGTCTACCGGTATGCTGTGTCCAATATTTGGCGCCTTTAGGTGTGATGGATAAATAGAGCCGAAAATTAAAGGGCCGAACACGGATTCCGTCTTCCCGGATCCCGGGATGTTCCCAAAAACCAAAGTATAGGGAACAGAATTTAAGACAAGAAAAAAATCCATGATGGCTCGACCAGTGACGGCCCAATTCTCAAATTTCATCTTGAAAATGCTTTAACCAATATGGATCGAAACTCAGACCAGCCACATATCAGATGGCATTATAGAATCTTCTCTGAAGCAACAGTTTGAAGAGATTTCGATGACACAGAAGTTATAAAACTGTGAGGTAAAGTATATTTCAAACGTATTAATTCTTATTTAGTCCGTGATATTGTGATCTGCATCAACAGACGCTTCATCAAATTAGAAGAAAATTTGTTACACACGAGACATTTTGTAATCAAGAAGGATGTTTTTGTCACACCAAGCAGGTTTGATTTGTTGAGCAAACAGTTAAGTGTCAAGTCTGCCGTCAAGTGGGCCATTAGTCCAACTAATTGTACTGCGCGAATGACAGACTATTCTCCCCCTTACCAGTTCCTCTCCCTGACGGTTCTCTCCCTAACCGTTTCCTCCCCTGACGGTTCTCTCCCAAATTTGAAATATGCAGACAGTTCTCCCCCCAATTTTATTTATAAGTTATCATTTTAGTTTTGACTTAATCTAATCATATTTCTTAATGAAGATTATTAAAATAATGAATTTGATAGTAAATGCATTTTATGTTTTATGTTTATCAGCTGAAAAGTGTTTGTAAATTTAACACCTTATTCAGTTTTTTAATCCTATCAACACCTGTGAATTTAACACCTTTTTTCAGTATTTTAATCCTATCAACACCTTTATTGTGAGAGATATAGATCATTGGACAGTGATTGATATACACCTGTAAAAAGTGTAATTATGTTAAGGTCTAGCTTGTGATGTTCATTTATTTGTTAAATAGTGAATAAGGTGGAAACAAATATGTTCTAGAAAATAAATATAAACAACTGGTATGCAAACACATTCCACATTTACTTTTTTACGAAATTGATTTAAAAACATGTAGTCATTAACTTGAAACAATATATAATACAAAATAACTAATATAATACTTATTCATCAACACCTTTTCACAGCTTTTTTAATCTAATCAACACCAAGGAATTACTAAACACCTCAATTATCACTGGCAGCAAACTTAATGCATACATGTGTGTATTGAACTTTTTTCATTATACAAAAGTTTAGCAATTAGAATTTATTATTCATTTTTTGCCTATAAATTTCATTTTTATTTATTAAAAAAAAAAAAATAATAATAATAATATCTTATGATTATCCTAATCATGTAAATTATTCATTAATTATTTTCAATGACTAAACACATTAAAAAGTATACATTACATGGTTATCTAATTAAAAAATCAGAATAATTAACTAATATAATCATCGATCAATTATTATTATATGTTAAAAAAAAGTTTTTCTAATTCAATTTATATCAATTGATAATAAAGTTACAAATTTATTAAACATCTAAATGCTTCAATAAAATATTTTTTTCTCTAATTTATATTAATATTTGATAATAAACTTACTGATTTATTGTTGCTGATGATGCTAACAAAATTGAAACTTGAATTAAACATTAGAATAATATATTAAAGTATTTTTCTCTCTAATTTATTACAATTTAATAATAAACCTTACCGTACCCATTTATTTAACATCTAAACACTTCAATAAAATCTTTTTTTTTTCTAATTTATATCAATTCATGAAAAACTTATCCATTTATTTATCATCTAAATACTTTAATAATAATGTTTTTATAAAAATAAAAATGGGCAGGAACTGTCTTCTAATTTGCAAATAGGCAGACAGTTCTCCCCCAAAATAGGGAGAGAACCGTCAGGGAGGAAACGTCAGGGGAGGAACTGGTAAGGGAGAGAATAGTCTGACTACCGTACTGCGCGACGAGATATTGTGCTATTTTCGTGTCTGGGCAATATCTCGCCTCTACGTACAACATAAAAACTACCTTTTCTGTGGTAAAATTTGCGCCGGGATTTTGAGCGCAAGCTTTGGACCGTCTAAAATCGTATTAGAATTCATATTTGAATAAATTTGTTACGATACCTTTAAAGATTATTCATTTCTACATCAATTTCATGTTTTATTTGTGAAAATATTCCTAACATAACGATTTTGATATAAAAGTAAACACATGCACTATCAAAATAAAGACATCGCCGCTAATGTCACGTGACAAATACACTGTTGATAACTACACTGGTGTGTATGCGGTACTGCGTTAAACACTCTTAGTAAAATATCAAGTTTAATGTTGTATTTAAGACATTTATTTATGCAAAAATTAATAATTATGAAAGGATGAAAATATTATTTTATTGGAGCAGATGCACAACGTATTCGTTATTGTCAGAGCGTTCTCAGAAATATCAGAATCATCATTATCTTTTTAGAAAAGCTACTCTCAGTCTGTAAATGAACTCCTCACTAATCCGTTTCTTGTTTATAAAAAAATATTTTGTTCAGCTTTCCCAGTAAATATAGGACATGGGACCTGTTGGTATCTATAGATTTTTTTCCCGACGATTATGATGAAAATAGGGATATGTTAAGAGCAGAAATATGAGGTTTATATGTTTAAAGAGCAACGTACAATGTACGGACTCCTAGTGCTTTATCGACTACGAGAAGACACCATTCTAAGGAATTTGTCAGTCTGTTATTCATAATCAGATTTATTAAACGATATTTTCAATGTTCAAAATAATTTTTATCAATAATAAAACGAATAAATGTCAAATGCGGTGCCTCGACATTATACATGAACATTCCATGTAAATTTCTTTTTTCTTTTTTAATTTCTTATCCGCGCATGTCCATAATTCTGGATAGTTTACTCCAAAAATCTTTCTAAAGATGTTGATAGAAAGAAAAAACACACACACACACACACACACACACACACACACACGTAGGTATGAAAATTGTTTTAAAAATGATCGTGGTAGCAGGGAAAAAATACTCGGAAATTTATTTCATGAAACAGGTGCCCGCTTCAATTTTTTGTTGTTATTTTTTTTTTGCAAAAGACTTTCATAATGTTGGTTTGCAGTAAAGATTTATTCCATACATTTCCTTTATATGCTGTCTAAGAAATTATTTTCTTTTATAAAATACATGCATGGCGAAGTGCGATTTGAAGAATCAACGCGGTTATTTTACAATGTTACATAAACAAAACGCTGCGCCGCTAATTTCTTTCACAGACACTTGGGGTGTGGAGCTCAAAATGCCTTAAATATGCAAATAAAATGTATATTTGTCAATCCCAGCACATGTACTGATCATATATATCAAAAACACTTAATATAAGCCGTTTTGAAAAAAAATCATATTTCAACGTCTATACATATATATATAATACACAAGATGAAAATGTTCGCCGGAAAAAAATCCGCACAACTACCGTCAAAAACACCATGTACTTTATTCCGTTTCCAATATTTTCACATAATCCTTTGGCCCATCGACACAGAAGATATAATTCTTCACCATGATGGTCAATTTTAAACTTCAACGTCAATATAAACAATGCAACAGGCAAAATAAACACCGAGATTATCGCCGTTTTCAAACGGGGCTCACCAACTTTGACAAATATACATTCTATTTGGATTTTTGTGCTCGACACTCCAAGTGTCTGTGATTTCTTTGATTCTTGTCCAATCTTATAACATTTAAGGGTTATGCAACACGTTTGCTCATTTTAAACAATAATAGATACAGATTGTTACTGCCCAAATATAAAAGGTGTTGCTTTGGAAAACGAACTTATAAAATCGGTAAGAAATCACGGCGCCTCTTCAGTTCTTTTTTTTTTTCAATAATTTTTTGGGTTTTTGACATAAAACGAAAATTAAGATTTTAACTTTCTTGTAAATTTAGATTGAAAACCAGAAAATAGTTCCTAAAAAATTAATGTCACAACTCAAAACTTAAAAAGTTGGCATATATTGCGTAAATTCAGAGCGTGTCGGTAAGCCGGGAAATGTACTGAGGAAACTCTGGACCATAACACATTTAAATTCTTACCACCGTTAAAACATTTTTCATAAATGTATTCTAGAAAGAAATTTAAGCATAAGTTTATCGTCTTTAAAATAAATCATCAAGTATATTTATAATTATAAAATGAAAAATAAATACATGTAGATCTAATTACAATCTAAAAATAACTTTTCTTTTCAATTTGGACCGTGCCAGCACGGAAACTTGTTTAACTGATTCTGGAAAGGAATCACGGCTCAAATTTAAAAACTTACCTGTAAATCAAATTTATTTATTTAAAACTTAATCTTATAAATATAAAGTTGAAACAAAGAATTTAAGTAAGGTAGAAACAGAACTGCGCATCAATTATTAATAGTGTCAACATTTCCGAAGTGTATATTGGCCAGCGTACCGGTGTCGGCGTTGAGGAATAGTTGACTCATTTCAAAAATAAATATTATTAGGTCGAATATATTTTCTATACCCGGGACAATTACTTCTCTGGAACATCGCTTAAACAACACCCAAATATCCTGGCCATTACGGCATACTATGATAACAGTCTTATTACACGGATAAATGGTATATGTACACAGGTTCTTTCAGATACAGACAAACGAAAAATGGGCGCTCGGAGTAACGAGTTTAACTTTTCTGAAAACTGTTGAGGAATGAAAAATTAATGCAAGAATTTACAATCTAAATTCAAGAAACTTTCATAGCATAATGCACGTTTGAAAAACAAACCTTTTCTAGGCAAGGAGTTGCTGTTTATAATACGCAGCAAGTTGTGACTAACATAATTATACTAACATGGATAATACAACAGAGTGGTGACAATATAAATTTTAATGATATGCAATATTTGTTTATCCTTTAATAAACATTTTTGTAAAAAAGAGGTCTAAATTAAAAGTTTCTCCGCATCATTTTAATGATTTCAATCAATTAGAAAAATATTTGATTATTTCCTGGTGATTTATTTTAATGTAGCAATAAAGATAATTAATAATAACAACATTAAGAATAATTTGTTTAGTTTTTCATGTTTTTTTAGCCACGCAAAAAACAAAATAATATGAAAATTACAGGATTCACGCACGGTACCGAACAATATCGATTTTTAGCGTACATGTTACATTACTGTAGCAACATCACAATATGGCGGCGTTGGAACACAAATGAGACGGTGAAATGAAACTAACGTGGTTTACTTTCTTCTAAGTTGATAGTCTGGCACTTTTTGTGCTGTTAATTCCTTAAAATTGTATTGTTGAATAAATTCTTAGTTTAAATTGTCTGCATTTTCACATTTACATCGAAATCCACGTTTCACCACAGAAAGGTCTCCTTTTGGTTTTGA